CGTGGGGGTGGAAGTTCCCGGACACTGGTGTTCACCGGGCTGTAGCTCTGGTAACCCTGTGCTGGAAACAAACTTCTGAAGGGAGCGCGGGGGTAAACATTCCTGAACTGGACTGGGTCCGCAAAGGTATTAAGGCCCAGCGCTGACCTCTGCCTAATCTTCTTGCTGGGGGATGTGGGTAGAGCTTCGGGGTTTCTGGAAAAAATGAGGCAACTTTTGTTCTGGGAAGCTGTGGAAGGGGCTCCCTGCCACAGCTGTGGTATAGAGGAAGCCTGCTGTGAGGAAGAGGGAGGAGACACAGCATGGGAAACCTGTGCAAAAGGGTGGATGTGCGTTGGAAGATGGTAAGTTAATGATGCTCTTTCGGGAGAGGACTTTCTGGAGGACTGCAGCACCTGGACAGCTGGGGAATGGATGTCTAAAGTGGTGTTGGCACCTGGAGAGGTGTCATCTGCCGTCTCTCTAGGTATTGCAGTTCCTGAGCTGTTAAATCTCACCACAAGAACAAAAAAATAATTGCCAGGACACTTCTGTTGTCACAAAGCTGAGTGATGACACCTTAGCATGGATAGTTGTAGGGTTTTTTCCTAGCCAGCTCAATTTCTTGTTGGGTTGGCTGTGATCACAGGGCTGCCAGCTGCCCTCCCCACCTTGCCTCTGGAGCTTACTGTTCTCTACAACTTGCTGCTTTTTACTATGGGAGCATCTGACTCTGCCATCGAAGGAGAAGCAGAAGGAATACGCCAGGGGCTCCTCAGGGGTAAGGAGTTTGTTCTCTGTGCTTTGGACATGTGTGCTGATAGGCCGGAGGCAGGGGTGCTGTGAGCAGGGAGGCTGTGAGCAGGGAAGCCTGGCTGTGCCCGGAAGGGCAGGAAGTGGGGCAGCTTGCGGGCAGAGGTGGATGTGCAGCTGCCTGGCTGTTCACCTGCGCTGCCTGCAGGGGTGGGCCAAAAGTTTTAAGGGAAATGAGAGTTTTCAAGGCATGAGGTGCCAAGCCTCTAGCAAAGTTTTAGTGACAGTAGAAAATTAGCGTTTTCCTTTATTATGGTGTGCTGGCTTCAAAGAAAACTCACTGAAATAGGCTGCAGGTCAGAGGGGGATCTGCAGTGCTGGCACATGTTTGGCCTGGGGCAAGTGACCTCAGGAGGACTCAGCAGAGCTGTAACTCTGAAGCGTGTGTTTTCTCCTGCTGTTATCTCCACTGTCTGAGAATTTGGTTTCTGTGCCACTGAGGCTGGGCAAGCCCTGTAACCCCATTTCTTCCCTTCCTACAAGGAGCCCGGGCTTGCTCGAGACTTTCTCTCCCTCTTGGGAGGGTGTCTGTTACAGGACACCCACTTGTTGTCTCATGGCTGGGGTTTTTTTTGTTGGGTTTTTTTTTTCAGTTCTGGAGGCTTGTGGGGCCAGCGGGCAGGACCTTAGCACCGAGGAACTGTGGCAGAAGGTGCTGCAGGAGGTTACGGTGGAGGAGCTGCAGGCACCTTTGCAGCGACTCGCGGCCCTGCAAGCAGCGTGGTGGCTGGCAGCCAGCCGCCTGGGAAGCACCGCTGGCCTCTTCCGGCTCCTGAGAAATGCTGAGGTATCTGAGCATGGGCAGATGTTGCGTAGCTCCCAGTTATCTGCACCAGTGTATCTGTGTGGATATAGATACCCACAGGTTTGCAAAAGGAGGCAGAACTGGCATAAATACTATGTTTGTCATGAACCTTACTCTGCAAAATGTTGCTGTGGCATTTGGAGAATTGAACCCATCAGTGCTGCCCAGTCAGCGTGAGTTAATCCTCTGCCTGGTGTCCCAGCATAGCCCAATGGCCCTGAGTGTGTTAATGAGTTCCAGAATATCTCCTGCCTGCTGGGGCCCTGGACCTCAACGTGCCAGAGAGGAGACTTGAGCAGGCTGGAAAGGGGCTGCAGGTGGACTCACAGCCTCTACAGGGAGCAAGCTGCGAGCAGTAGGATGCAGAGGAACCTTCTGTGCTGATTGTGAGGGTTGTGTAAAGGCTGCTGAGGGGTCCCACCTTGTTGAATGCCTTCCAACAGCACTTGGTTCTGCCTTGCCAGGAGCCCCTCGAGGTGCACTTCACTCTGAGGTCAGGAGGTGCTGCCCCTGGCCAGGCAGAAATCACTGCAGCGAGGGGGTTGTAGTTGAAGTGGAGGGGGGGTAGGACGTTGGTCCCCAGCACAGAGAGCACTGTTGAAGGGTTTGGTGGGATCTCTGTTTCTCCGACCCCTGGGATCGGTGTTTCCAAGCAATCGGAATTGCTTGCCTTCAGCATTCCCTGCTCCCTCTCCTCTGTGTATTCACAGGACCCGGGGAGAGCTCTCTGCAGTGAGGGAGAAAATGAACTTCTCTCCCTGCTCAAGGCATGGCGAGTACCTGCTGAGGGGACCTCTCTGCCCCTTGTACAGAGCGCCGAGGACTTGAAAGAGATCCTCTGCACTACCGCAGCCTTCCTGCAAGGTTTGTGTGGAGGAGGTACTCATGCCAGCACAGCCTCCCACTACTCTTCTGTCCCAGGACCCACTCTCCCTGCCCTTATCTTGGTTTCTCTTCCCAAGCAAACCGGCCCTTGGGGTTTTCTATGTAGTTCCTTTGGAAGAGAGCCTGGGCTGAGTCTCTGGGCCTCAGCTTTGCCATTCTATATCCAAAGAGCTTCTCTGCTTTTTCCCCAGCTAAGCCTTTCTCTGCACTGTCACAGATGTCAAACCAGGTGACTGATTTGACCCGCTCATGGTTTTCCCCTGCTCACTGTCTTGACAACCCCAGCAGCTCTGAGGGCAGCCAGTGCTGCCTGGCTGTGCTCAGGCTGACGCAGGACCTACCTGCAAGGAGGGAAGGCAGGAGCTCCTGCCCACAGACCTCTCAAAAGCCTCTAGGGTGGTGATGGCACTTCCAGTGGGGAGATGGCAGATGTGAATGGGATGTAGGCATGTGAGAGTGGCCTCAGAAGGAAGTTTGAAGTGAGGACTGAAACAAAAGCAAATACCATTCATGATAAATATTAATGAATTAATATCCCAAAGCACCCTGCTGGGTAATGGCCCAGATATGCTGGAAAAAGTCTTTCTGAGATTCTGCGTGTGGTTCCCCAACTGTACTGCTGACACTGTGGATGAACGCGCAGGTGAACCTGCCCAGCATGTACTTCTGCCCTTGTTCTGGGCCAAGGCAGGCATCTTGGTATCTGGGCTTGGAAGCTGCTATTATTTCTGCTAGACATTTCCATCGAGTGGCTTGTTCTCTTGCAACACCATGAAACCATAGATGGCAGCTTGGCACAATCCTGCTGTGCATTGCTGGGTGCAGAGGTGATCAGGCAGGTCTCTGTGGCACTGAGAAGAAAAGGGCACATATATTTGTTTGGGGACCAGGTGTGGCAGGAAGGGGAGCTGCAGAGCTGAAATGTTGGATCTCTCCTAGGACTGCAGGAGCTGGAGACTGGGAACTTCCCCAATGCCCTCTCCCTCCTTCAGGAGGCTGCAGGAGGATTCTGCTCCAAGAGGGTCCTGGCCCAGATCTACACCTGCCTTGGCTGCTGCGCTCAGCAAATGGTAATGACCAGGCCTCTTCCCTGTCAGTGAGGAGAGGCAAAACGCAGCCTAAAGCACGGGGAGGAGGCTCAGGCTGATGTCTGTGCTGCCTCTGCATGGTCCTAGACTGCTGCAGGAAGTTGCCCCTGTGGCCCCAACCTCCTTGCAGAGCTCCAAAATCCAGACAAGGATTTTGTCTGAGTGCAAAGGATGGCTGCAGAGAGAGAAGCTCAAAAACCAGCCTGAAGAGGCCTGCCTATGGCTTAAAGGGCTGCCCTTGTCGGGATGGGGACGGCTGGGGAAGCAGAGCAGGGATCTGGATCTCACTGAACAGTGAGGATGTTGGCAAGATGTCCTTGCAACATGCACCTCTTCCCATCTAACTAGGGAAAGCCTCAGACAGCCCTTCAGCACCTGAAATGGGCCCTCAAGGTAGACTTCCAGTGCCTTCCTGCCCTGTCCCATGCGGCAGCAGTGTACCATGAGCTGGGAGAAACGGATGTGGAGCTGCAGGCCCTGGCTCTGCTCTATGAGGTTTGTCTGTTTCCTGTAGTTCTTGGTTGATTTTTGCCCAGCCAGAGCCTGCGCAGAGCTTCAAGCAGGCTCCTGCCTTCTGTGGGGGGCTGTTTCACCCTGGAGGTCCGCAAAGTAGACTACAGCGATCCAGCCATGGTGCTGCCTTCAGCAGTAGGCAGGAAAGAGCCCAGTGAGGTCTGAAATTCCCACTCAGCACCTGGCTGTTGGATGTGGCAAGACCTTTGGGTCCCTATTCATGTTCTTGGTGGCTTGGGAGAAGAGGTTACACTCTCATGTCAGAGAGCATCAGTGTCTTAGTAAAGTATCTAATAATACAGAGGCCTTTAAAAGGCAGATTGTGTCTGTGAGGGTGTGTGCCCTAGCCATAGTAGCCCTGGTCTGCCTGGGAGGAGCAGCTCACAGCAGTAGACAGAGTTATCTCCTCAGCTGTTTGAAATCCGTAAGATACAAAGACAGCTGTGGAGAGGGTTCTTCTTCATTTTGAATGGCCTAAGACCTGGTCTAATTAGGTCTGCGGCTGCAGTGGGAGATAGTGTTCCAGGTGGCTCACTTGAACTGAAAACCTGAGGTGATCTGTGTGATCTTGCAAATCTCCTGAAGCTGTGTGGAGAACAGAAGTCTGCCTGTCCCTAAGTGATCCTGGTTGCTCTTCCTGGAAGTGGCTGTGCTGTACAGAGTGAGAACAGCATAGCTGTGCTTATGAAGCACAGTGCTTCTGCTTGTCTGGGTGCATCACCAGATGCCAAAAGTGCGAAATTATTGCAGCTGCTCTGGACTTGACCAGTGTTGTGTTGACCGTATTTTCTGTTCCTGTTTTACAGGCGCTGGAAAAAAACCCTCCAACAGCTGCTTCCTCTAGTCCATATTTCCTAATCCGAACAGAGCTCCTTGTCCGCACACCAATACTAGCTTCACTCCTTCACCATCACCACCCCTCTGAAGTGAAGTACCTGCTGGCACAGAGGTGTCTCCAGGACGGGAGGTAACAGAGCCTCTGGTCTGTTCGCACCATGCTGCTTGTTTGGGCTCTGCAGTTTTCTCTGTGCTCCTGGAAATCATCCAGTTCAGTACTGCTGGTGTAGGCCTACTGAAAGCATGGTTATCATGAATGAGTGTGGTGCGGGGAGAGCCTGTGGGCTGGTGATCCAGGTTCCACCTGGCTGCCGGCACTTCTTGGGGTCCCTCTGCTTCTTCCACCACATGTCCTGTCCATGTTGCAGGGTGGCTGATGCAGTGGAACATTACCTGGATTTTCTGGCTCTGCTTCAGGAGGGGCTGCAGGAGCAAGTAGGTATCTTGGCAAAGAGGTCCCTTGGTGAGTTGGGAAATGAGGTTTGGATCCCCATCCCAAGGCCTGGGTCCAGGCATCACCCTTGGACTCCAGGTTTCAGTGTCTAGTTAGAGATGTGAAGGAAATGAGCGGGTTGCTGGCACCTCTGACCTGTAGCATGTCTGCCTTTGAATTCACACCAGAGACCACTTGCCACTGCTATTTGGAGACACAGCTCCCCCTTCCCTGTGGGGCGCAGCTGACGGCCTCATTTTGCATGTCCTTCACTTCAAGAGTAGGGATTTGCTGCCTTGACTCTGCTGAGCTGTTAGTGCTTCACAGCTTCTGCCTCCTGCCTCCTCTGACAGGCTTCATTGTCTGGGAGTGGGTCTGAGCTTTGCTGGGCAGCAGCTCTGGGTTTCCAGTAAGCACAGGGTCATTCTGCTTGGCTGGGTGCTCCGCAGTTCTGCATCTGAGCACTGCCAGCACTCTTGCTCCTCAGGTGCCCCTAGACAGTAGCTCGGCTCTGCCCAGGATCCCCGAGGTGTTCCTGGAAGCGGCGTCTGCCTTGGAACAGGCTGGGAGGCACCAGGATGCCATTACTGTGTGCGAGGAGGTCATCAGCCGGACAACTTACCTGATCCCACGGATGTTACGAGTGGAGAGGCTGGAGCAGCAGGCATGCCCATCATCAGGGACAGGGCTGGTGGGTGGTCTCCTGTCCCAGAAGAAGGAGAGTCTGTGCTGCCTTGCCTGGAGAGCAGCTGGATACCTGCACCAGGGCTGGGCATGGGCCAAGCTGGGCGAGAGCAAGGAGGCTGTGACACAATTCAGCAGGTGATGAAGCCTCACTGGGAGAAGGGGCCTCCCCAGCAGGCAGCAATGTTTGGTGGGGGCCAGAGCAAGGTGCAGTGTGGCATGGGGGCTGGCCTGAACAGCTTGCAGCTGAATTCCCAAGCCAGGAGTGGTACCAAATCTCCTCTGTCCTCGCACCCGCAGGTGCCTCTGCGATCTCCTGCAAGTCCAGCTTTATGGGTCTGGC